CCATTACCTCACATTGCCTGGCAACAGTAGACTCAAGCCAGGAGCAATGGCTGATGGGTCTGGAGCGTGGGTGCCATCAGCTGGGGCGGCTGGCTCGGTGTCTCTTCAGTGGCTGAGGACCAGGCAGGCAGGTCCTATTTGGGGAATGGAGGCTGGCTCCTCGCTTAGCACGCCACAAGGATGCACGAGGGCTGGGGATTCAGCTCAGCAGCACAGTGTCTGCCTGGCAAGCGCAAGGTTGTGAGTTCGATTCCCGTTACCAGAAAAAAGAAAAAAAAACATAAAAAAAGTACAAGGGATGGGGGTGGCCTTTGGTCACTGACTCCAGCTGCCCTCCGTGCAATTGGATTGCACAGGTCCTTCAGACCAGTCCTCAGGGCAAATCCTCAGGCCAGGGAGGCCTCGGCTCTCCTTCCGGTGACCTCGTTCTGATTTCATCATTATCTTTCGCTTTTGCTGCCAAAGACCACCCACGCTTGGCACGGAACAGTGCCAAGCACTTAACACTTGGCACTTGACATGAACAACTGGTTGCTTCTAGGTTTGTTTTCCATAGGCAGATGTGTTAGCAATTCCGAAACTACTTTCTGAGTGTTTTAAGGCTGAGCAAACAAGCAACCTGGAGCAGGTTTCTCACTGTTAGAGAAAGAAGCTGCAGATATGGAGAGGGAGTGGTTAGAATCAGACTTGAGTATTTTTTGTTGTTTTGTTTTTTGTACCTGGAATTGAACTCAGGACCCTCCACTGTGCCACTGAGCTATAGCCCTGGCCCAACTCTATATTTTAAATATATTATAGAAGGAAGAAGATGTAGTGTGTGCTTTTTTCTTAGTCCCTTTTTTTTTTTGTACCGGGAATCGAACTCAGGACCTTGTGCTTGCCAGACAGGAGCTTGTGCCACTGAGCTATATCCCCTGCCTTTTTTTCTTAGTTCTGACCATTGAGAGGACCTGGGAGTAATGTCATCCCAGTAGCTGTGAGCACACGTGACACTACGTCTTGGTCTCTGAATACCCACTGAACGGAACCAGCACTCTTTGCAGAAAAGGCTGAGCCCAGCCCAGGTACAGAGACAAGATGGACCTGGAACATCTTGTTGGGTCAAGAAAATAAGGCAGGGGTCAGGTTATAATGAGGACCTGCCTCAGGAACACAGGAGCCAGCTAGAAGATGCTCCCGTGGCCAAATCTAGAACAATCTGAGCATCAAAAGGAATAAAGATAGTAACGGAATATAATTCGCGGAATGAAACAAGTACTTATGAGGCCACAGTGATGTAAATAAATAAATAAGTAAATAGGGAAAACTCTATTTGAGTGCCAGCCCATGGGTGTAGAGGGACAGACTTAGAAAATCACGCTTGGTAACCACCACAGCGCTAACTGGTTCAGGCAAGGATCGCCAATAGGCGCTGTGTCTGGTGAGGGACGGTCTGGTGAGGAGCAGCATATTGCTTTAGTCTCTGATTGTCTGCCCACAAGACACGCATTACACAAAGGAAAGCAGTTATAGTATAGTGAAAAACCCAGCAGAAAACACTCCAGCAGTGACTAAAGCCCAAATCACCGGCCACGGAGACAGCCAGCGTTCTGTGCCCAGTGATACTATGTAAAGAGGACACACCGTCTCTTCTGAGTGTTTTTGCCCAAAATGCAGAACCCAGATATCATCATGAGAAAACATCAGATTCACCCAAACAGAGGGGCGGTCCACAAAATAACCACGCAGGTCTCCCCTAAAATGTCCAGGCCGTGAAAACAAAGATAGGTTGAGGAATTGTTCGGATGAAAGGAGGCCACAGAGACTTGACAACTTAATGCAACGTGTAGCTGGATTTGATCTGGGACTAGAAAATAATACCTTTCTTTGGTTGTAAAGATTATCGGGTTAGCCAGGCATAGTGGTGCACACCTGTCATCCCAGCACTTGGGAGGCTGAGGCAGGAGCATCATTGTGAGTTCGAGGCCAGCCTGGGCTACAAAGTGACTCAAGACCAGCTTGAACTACATAGCGAGACCCTGTCTCAAAAAGACAGGAAAAAAAAAAAGATTATCAGGACAATTGAGAAAATTTGAATAAGGTCTGAAGGTAGATAGTAGTGTAACACCAGTGTTGATTTTCTGATTTTGTCATTGTACTGTGGTTATCTAAGTGAATGTTGAGGCCTTTTGGAAACAAACATGAGGTAGTTAGAGGTAAATGTGTGTCACATTTGCAGTTTTCAAATGGTTCATCTGCATATGCAAACAGAACGGGAATGAGAACATGGCAAAGTCAACTGATCAAATATTAGTATTTGTGAAAACTGGGTAAGATAGAAATTTCTTGTTGTAAACTTGCAACTTTTCTGTAAGTCAGAAATTATTTCAAAACAAACATTTAAAAATAAAATAACCATTTTTACTGGATAAAAATGTGAGGCATAGCCGGGCATGGTGGCGCACGCCTGTAATCCCAGCGCTCAGGAGGCTGAGGCAGGAGGATCGTTGAGTTCGAGACCAACCTGGGCTATAAAGTGAGCTCAAAGGCCAGCCTGAACTGTATAGCAAGACCCTGTCTCAAAAAGACAAAAAAAAAAAGTGAGGCATGATCAGTGTGTGGTGGTCCTCGTCAGGAAAGGAGTTGTCTTGTGGAGGGTCAGGAGTTGCTGCTGCCCTACCCGCTCTGGGCCAGGGCTTTTCAAACTCAAGCTCACAGGAGAATCACCCAGGGACCTTGCTCAGTGCAGAGTCGGCCTGAGATTCTACATTTCTAGCGAACCCTCAGGAAATGCTGAGTCTCCCTGTCTGCTGGCCCTCGGTCACTGTGGGTAGCCAGTTGCTGGTCACTGCTTAAGCTCAGTCCAGGAATTGCCATGCCTGGCTGCATGCTGGGACCACCGAGGAGCTGATTCGTAATTGATCTCCCTATGGGATCCTAGGATTAAGCCTTTACCTTGGTCCTTTACCATATGTCCTTCTTTCCATCTTCTCAAATTCCAGCCCTATCTCTAAATACTACCTTAGCCCCCAGGCTAGCTTTCTGCCACTGCTTTACTCCATCTGCCCCTCCACCTTTTTCAGACACCCACCCCGCTCCAACCCCCGTGCGCCCCTCGCCCAGGCAGCGGGCGCTCTGTGGTATGGAAGAAACCTTCCTCTCCTGGGCTCTCCCTCGACACTCCCAGGAGAGCAGCAGCTCACGATGGAGCACACATTTGCATTTGTAACCACTCTCACACCCACAGGCACCTGCCTCGCCTTCCTTGGTTGTCCAGGTCAGAAGCACCACATGGGGCCATTCCGCAGACGTCAGATCCGGGTACCCCATTCCTCTCGGAGAGGCGGCTGGTTGGGAGCCAAGTGGCTCACAGTTCCTCCTCACTCAGAAGCTGGGTAAAGGTGTCTTCTGCCCAGGCACCCACTGGAGTCTACCCAGGACAGGGCTCGGCCCCCCGCTGCGGGGAGAGGAGGCTTGGGTGTTGTCCTGAAATTCTAGCACAGCTGCCCAATTCCCCTGTCCCCTCCACTCCCCATCCACCCACTCCTCACCTGCGCTCCTGTAGCCCTGCACATGTTTAGAATCCAAAAGACCCGGAGGAAAATAGGTCACAGGGAGGAGCCACCTGGATACACCCTCAAGAGAGGGCAGGGGCCAGGAGAGTGGAAGTATTGGTGAAGCCTGCAGAGAGGGTGGCTGGAAAGAGAGTTTGGGAAGGGGGCAAGGGACGTGGGGGTGTGCACGGAGGCCCTCTGCTCCCCACGCCCCGCTTTGCTGGCTAGAGATCCCTTCTGACCTCACAGCGGCCTTTCACCCCATATGCTCCAGAGCTGATGAGTTCATTCCAGGGAAGGGACATGGCTGCCCAGGGACAGGACTTCAGTAAACTCCCTGGATCCCAGGAGAACCGTCTCTGGGATCTGGGGGAGAAAGGGCCCAGGCGGGCAGCGTTCCTGACTTGAGTAGCCTTGAGGATACAGGGGGTCCTGGGGAATAAGGCTCACCTTCGCCTCCTGCTTGTTGCCTAGACATCCCGTCTCTGCCTGGAGGGGAATTGAAGAGAATACCATTCTGCCCTGGAGAGGGGAAACCGGCCCTTCACGCTTCCCATCAAGAGCCCCAAAGCTCTGTGCCCCACCTCCCTGCGGGTCGACCATATGTCGGGGTCTTTTGGCCTTGCACCCGTCGTCCGGGCCCGCGGTCAGCTCGGACTGAGTAGCCGTCCTTCTGAGGACCAGCAGCCCCGTGCCCTAGGAGGAGCTGCCCGAGGTGTGGAGTAAGTGTGCTCCTCTCTGGAGAGCTCTGTCCATGCAGCTTCTCCTTGGGCTCGAGCAGTTTCCAGGTTCTCAGCCTCCCTGAGCTCCAAGGAAGAGGTGGGGACTTGGAAGCAAATACGAGCAGGGCCCCTCAGGTGGCGACAGTCCTGGATCTGGGCAGGTCCTCCCCCTCGCCCAGCCCCTCTAGTTTTGGGCCCCATTCCAAGTCCCCCCAGGAAGAAGCTGCCCTCCAATAACCAGAGCCCCCCGGCCCCTGCTGCCTGAGCCCCCGACTGCCACCTCCTCCGCTGTCCCCCAGAACTCCCTGGGCTGCCCCACACAAGTCAGCGCTTGTCTCCCGGCCTTGTTTTTCTCCCTCCAGGTTCTGGCACCCAGGGCAGCTGTGGGAACCCACTTCCCTGCCAGACACTTTCCGTTCCTGACAATACCCAAATTTCTCAATTCCCCATCTCACTAATGGCCTTAGGACCACTTTTAGTAAAAGGGGCAGTTTGGATGCTAAACTATTATAGATTGAAATAATTAGAGGAATTGCAACTAGATTAGAAATGATGAGAGGAATTATAAAGGGAATGAGTCAAAATAGCCTCAGTTAAACTGAAGCTGGTTTAAAGAATCTAAAACACGAAGCCACTGTATACATCACCCAGTAAATAACTCGAGTCTCCCCCGGCTTTGGCATTTACTCGGTCTCCTCCACCCTCTCCCAGGCATTCCATTCACCCCAATCAGCACATTACATGGTTTTTCCACGAACCCATATTTATTGGTTTTAAAGTAATTGAATTATTGGCACAAGGCTGATTTTCAAAGCAAATGACAGAGGGAAACATATCATTACGCAAGTGGAAAGACTGGCCAGGGGGCACCTCAGAGCGGCTGCCGCCCCGGCGGGAGGGCAGGACCTGGCTCCCAAGACTGCAGCCAGGACCCAGCCCTGCTGGACCTGAAGGTGACACAGCCAGACCTCACGGGATCGCCAAGGGCCCCCCAGTCCTCTCTCGCAGACAGACATTCCTAGCCTCCTTGGAAGCTTCTTCCAGCCTTCAAGTAGGTGCCACCAACAGCGGCTTGACGACCGCGGGGACCTCTTCTCTAAGTGTGCCAGCCTGCTGCTCCCGCTGTGTGGTTTCCACAAAGCCTCCCCCACCAGGGGCAGACCAGGGCCCCTGCGGAGGGAGGCGAGCCGCAAACAAGAGTTGGATTTACAGGTGGGCCAAACCCGGCAACTTCCCTGAGACCAAGTGCCCCCACTCGTAGGTCTCCCAACCATTTTGGGGGGCAAAAGGGGGGCTTATTAACAGGACAGCTGCTGCCCCTCCTGTGTGGGCTCCTCCTCGATGAGCTCCAGGTCGAACTCATCTTCCAGGGAACCCCCGACAGGCAGGAGGCGGAACTTCTTCCCCTTCAGCGTGCAGGTGCGGTGCTCAAAGTCCAGCACGGCATTGTGGTCCTGCAGCACGTCGGTGCCGATGATGGCTTCCTCGGCACTCGCGTTGGCCACCAGGAACTGGGCCTTCAGCTTCAGCTTGCCCAGGGACACCACCGTATCCCAGACGCCCAGGATCTTCATTTCGGCTCCGTTGGCCACTTTCACCACGTTCTCAAAGGGCCGAAGGGTGTCAAGGTCGCCATCGGTGACCTCCTCCCACAAGCTCGGGTGGACCACAGAGACCTGGGCCCCAGAGTCCACCAGGAACCTCACGGGCACTTTGCCAATCTTCCCTTTGAGGTAGTAGCCCTTACCCATGCTGTTGGCAAACAGGATCTCCTTGGGCTGGCTGCACGCAGCCCCGGGCCCTCCGAAAGCCCTCAGGAGGGCTTCCTTCACCGTCCCATAGTCTCTCTGGTCCTGGACGCTGAGTCCGCTGTAGACCTCCAGGGCGTCTCCTTTGAGCGACTCCTTGAGGAACCTGAGCCTGGTCGCAGGGTCCCAGTGGTTGAGGCTGTCAACGGCCTCAAAGCGGTGCAGCCACAGGCTGGGCGCTACGTTGGCCCCGTCGAATGACTCCGGGACGAAGGCGTGCTCCCGACGGCCCTCCTGGCTCCTGGCTCCTCTCGCAGCCATCGCTCCGCTCACCTCTGGAAGTTCAGCACAAACCCACGCCAAGTAGAGAAAGCCACAGAGCAGTGTTGGCGCAATCACGATGGAGAGCAAGGCCTCTCGAAGCAGGGTGCTGTTTACTTACCCAGCCGGGCAAGCAAAAGGGGGCCAGTGAGCGCTGTGGAGCTGTCGCTGGGCGCAGAGGCGGCCTTGTGTGGCCTGTGCACCCTGCAGAGCCTTTTTGATGCCTAGCCTGGCCCCCCAGGGCTCCTCATTCTCCTTTGTTCTGGAAGCTCCGCCCCCTGCTCGGCCCGCCCTCCCGCCAGCATCCTGCCCGACGAGCAGGATGAGTGCCTCACCCTTCTGCATCTGTCCTCGGGACTGACGGGCCAGCCCACGTTGAAAGAATGCCCAGTCTTAGTGGGGGAAGGGGCTCCCCAGGGTACCCAGCCTGTGCCCCAGCATCACCCGGATGAGGACACAGAAGACGTTACAGCCAGGTGTTTATCATCCTCCAGAGAAGCACAGGGCAGGTTGGGACCAGACTCCCATCAGCTTTAGGCTGCGGAGGCCCCTTTGGCCTGAGACCTCCCGCATGGTCCATACTTCCTGAGCTCCAGCGTGTGCCAGGAGCTGAGCAGGTGCCTCCCCACACTCTAAATAAGTATGGGGTCCGGTGAGATTCCCTGGAGGAAAGACAGAAGAGGGCCCCAGAATCAAGAATCCACAGAAATGATTTGTGAGTGAGTTAAGGCACACACTGTCTCTATACAAACTCATTTGCTGCAGTCATTTTCCTTCATTCACTCCTGATTCAAAGTCACCCTTTTCGAGGCCAGGCCTCCGCCCCTTCATCCCCACCCCAGGCTGATCATTTATAGAAGGAGCAACCTGGGAATCTCACTCCGTTTTTGTTCACTGCGTGGTGCTGCTGCTGAGGGCGTGGAAGGACGGAAGGCTCGGCTGTCTGAGCCTCTGCCACTGGGGCGGAGGACAGACCACAGAGCATGCCCGGATGTCCAGGCGCTGCAGGCCTGAGCTGGGAGACTGGGGCTGGCAGGGGGACCTGCTTTTAGGCTACTGTTCAAATGTCACCTCCCCCGTGACTCCTTCCACCTTGTCCTATGTGTACACACTTCTGGCGGACCGTGTGTCACAGTGTGCGCCGATAATCTTTCACCAGCCTGCCTTGGGACAAATCAGCCTGGGGTCACTAACCCGGCATTTGTGATTGTCTCTGGCCCTCCTAGAAACTTACTGTGGGACCCAGGCGGTCCTCTCTGCCGGCTCGAGGCCTGGCTGTGTGCTGTCGCCAAACAGGAGGGATTAAGGAGGGCGAAGGAGGAAGGCTTGATGGCACACCAGTTGTTTTTCCTGGCCAACAGCCTGTCCCTCTCTAGCTCTTAATGCCACTCGTCACCCAGTGCCTGGCTGAATCCCAGAAGTACTTGGCCTAGTCCTGCCTCTGATGACCCCAAGGTCCCCAGCCACATTGCAAAGTCCTCAGCCCTGTGCTCCCTCCGGCACCTTCCACCTGACAGGGTGAGCCAGCGGAGAGGCAGCTCTCGTCAGAGCTGCCTGGCTAAGGTGGGGCCTCGGTGGCATTCCAGGATCCAGAGGAGGGGAAATAGAGTCACAGGAAAGGTGTCAAGAGCAGGTAGGTTTCCGAGAAGATGGCACAAGGAGAAACCTGCATCTAGAAAAATGACCCAGCCATCCGCAAGACCAGAAAGGCCCTTCTGCAAGTGGACTTCGGGAGATACTCCGGGAGCCTCGCACGGGCATGGTGCCTCGGCCCAGGCAACTGACCCTTGCTCCCTGGCTCCCGTCACCTTGAGCACCTGCTCTGTGGAAGTGGACATGAGTGAGGAGGTAGCGTGTGAATAGGGAGGGGAGTGAAGGCAGGGGTTAGCTGAGGCATGGGACTGCCAGAGGTTCCGGACTGATTCTACAAACCATAAGTGCTGTGTTGATGGAGGTCAGAGCTCCCCATTGCCCTTAGAATAGTGGTAGGTGTCCCCCAGAACTTTATTTGCTTGGGTTTGGAGTTCTCTTGGGCAGTTTTTCCACATTATTTCCCTCAACGAGCAACCTGAGAACCAGTGAGGCAGAGCAGCCCTTGCTCCAGGACCCCGAGCGCAGGAGCTTACATGGCGCACCACAGGTCCCAAGCCATCCAGCGGCTAGACGAGGGCCCTTTTCAAAGACCGAGACGTGAGCGCCAGGCTACAGGGCGCAGACACTGCGTTCTGAGGCTGTGCTGCTGATGCCCTGATGAGCACGGTGAAGCGAGAGCCGATGATTACGTATGCAGGAGTTTTTGAACCAATTGCTAAGCCAGTTGGTAGCTTCAAGTTGGACTCGATGAGACTCTACACCACAGAAACCAGCAAATGCTAAATCATGAGGCTTTTGTTTTTGTTTCCTGGAATGACCCTTTATCACCAGCACTGGGACTTAGGCTGGATCTGTGTGTGCCCACACACACTCACATGCACACGCACACGCACACGCACAGCCAGTAATCAAGTCTTAACTGCTTGGACCTAAGTGACCTGCCAAACTGGGGAACTACAACCTACCTGGCCCCTACACTCCCCCACAGTCTGTGACTCGGTGGGTGACCGTCCATAGGGAGGCCCTGCGGCCACATCGGTTCACATTGGTCTACCACACAGGGTCTCATGGCCTCCAGCCAGCTGGAAGGGGTTAGGGTGCAGGCTTTGGCTGGGCTTAGGGGCTCCTCTCTGGCTAGGATCAGGAACAAGGTAAAGGTACATTCACAGGGTCCCTTTGTCCTTGGAAGATGCTCCTACTGGGACGCTCCGGAAGCACTCGGAGACCTCGGAATGGCTCTGGGGATGGTGCACCGATGAGCTCGGCCAGGTGCGAAGGCCCATGAGCCGCTGCTCCTCCCAGAGCCCTGGTGGCCGCTGATTATTGACAGGTATAGGCCTGGGTGGAACACCCTCATTATCCCTCATTAGCATCTCCTGAGTGTGGCACAGGCACATTGAACTTGACCTGAGAGGAGGCAAATCAGGACAGTAAACAGGAAGGATTTAGGGCATCCCCACCCTTCCCACCCCCTCACGGAGGTTTCCAGGCTGTGAGCTCCTCCTGCGCTTTCTGCTTCAACTCCCTGATTCTTCTTTGGGTTTCCACACCTCCAGGAGAGTCGAGCAAATTGGCAGGAGCCCAGGGCAGGGCCCTAAGGCGCCCTGAGAATAGAAGACTTGGGGCAGTGGGGACACTTAATCCACTTCTGTGGTTCCTGCTGCCCTGTCCCTTTTGGGGAATACAGTGGTAGCTAGGAGGGGAGCCTGAAACCTTCGAAGTACTAGGTGGTGGGGCAGGGCCCCACTCTGCAGGGTGGGGAGTGCTGGGCCAGGGGTGACCTGACCTTCTAAGTGACACCTGGTGAACTGAGGTCCCATCCATGGCCCGCTGGGAACCAGAGGCTCAGGGAAGGTGAGCCAAGCCTTAGCAGTGCGCAGGTCCCCTTGCAGCTCCTGCCTAGGCTGCCTCTGACCACCTCACATTGCTGAGGTCAGGGTCACCCTGAGCAGCTGGCTGAGAAGGCCAAAGGGGACCCAGAGCTTTCTAAGACAGCAAGGAGGGCTGAAGGGCAGCAAACAAGAGTGCTTTCTCCAGCAAGGACCAGACGCATGGGCGTGCAACTTGGTCTATACTCAGAAAGGGTCTCAGCTTGGTCGGGCGCCATGACATTGCTGTCTTGAAATCTGGACCTACACTGTAGCTTTGCACCAGGCTCTGGAAATTATACAGCTGGTTTTCTCTTTAACAAGTTTAGATGTGGCCTGGTGTGGTGGCACAAGCCTATAATCCCAGCACTTGGAAGGCTGAGACAGGAGGAACACCGAGAGTTCGAGGCCAGCCTGGGCTACATTGTGAGTTGAAGGCCAGCCTGAACTACATTAAAAACAAAAAAAGAAAAAATTAAAAAAAACAAATTAAAAAAAATTTAAATTAAAAAAATATTTAAGGGGCTGGGGATTTAGCTCAGCGGCACAGTGCCTGCCTGGCAAGCACAAGGTCGTGAGTTCAATTCCCGGTACCGGAAAAAAAACAAAAAAACTTTTAAAAGTCTAGTGGTAGAGGCTTCTCTTTAAGCACACATACAGACATACACACACACACACATTTCACCACACACTGCACATACAGAAACACTCCACATGCCGTTCACACATCCTGTGCGTGTGCACACACCCTATACACAGGCAGCCCATCCTTCTCAGACCAAAATGGCTAAAAATTTGTGTAACTTGACCGTAGAGTTCAGCCTCCACCTTTTCTTTCACGTAAGCATTAGCACCCACATTTACATGCAGCATTAAAACCCTATTTATTGGAGGCACCTGCTGTTTATTAGCCTCTAGGTACACTTGCCGCTTCAGAGAACTGGGCAGGTCCCACCAGCACATCTCACAAGCTAATGAAAACAGGATACAGATGTCTCACACCACGCTGAAAGCGTTTAAGAGCAACGTACACATGAAGGCTGACCCACTTGGAGCACCCCCCAGTCACCACCGCGCCACTTTGAAAGGAGCCGGTTTTGAAGTGGCTCATCCTGTCTTCTGCTCTTTCCCACCTGGGAGGACAGGAGGCCCTCTGGTTTTCCCACCCCCGGGCACTCGCCACCCAGAGCCACAGCCCCTGTTCCCCTGCCCCAGCCAGTCCCATCGAGAGGCTTGACCTGGGCGTGGCCTGAGTGTGTGTGGTGGGCTGGGGGCGTTGCTTCACGAGGCTTCAAACTAAAAACAAAACAAAGAGATGAGCTCAGCTCACAAGCCTGGCTTGGGGCTGCAAGTGAGGTGGGCTACCACCACAGCGAGCTGCGTTGGGAAACCCATGCCACCCACAGACCCTCAGGCTAGCAGTGTCCACTGTTACACCGGGGCACACCTGGGCACACATGCAGGCGTGGTGCAGGCACGTGGGTGGGACAGCTCCTCCTCACCGTTCCCCTCCTTGAGCTCTGCCAGACTCTTACCAAGATGGATGTCCCTGCCCCTGCCCTTACCAAACGGGCCAGCGTCCCCACTGAGGGCAGAGCGTTCTTGCCGGCAGCGCCCGTCCTCCATTCTCTGCTGCCCCATTTGGCCCACCCTCACCTCCTCCTTTTCCGCCTGGCTTAGGGGTCCTCCACCGGGTAGCCCTGCATTCTCCACCATTGTACCCAAGATATCGGCGTCAGGAGCCTGCGGGCCCTGGGGCTGTGGGGGACAGGGATTCAGTCCCCAGTGCCATCAAGAGCCCCCAGGTCCCAGTGAGGACCAGGACCAGCCAAGAGTCGGCTGGAGCGAGCTGCTGACTAACTGCTAAAAAACTAATTAGCCATATCCGGTTCTTCCGTGTTTTTATCTTTCAATCAAATATGAAGATTACTAAGGTATCCTGAAGGCCTCACCAGTCTCCTCCTCACAGCCCGGCCCTCCGACTCGGGTTCCCACCTTTCGCTCAGCTCCTGGCGCGAGACCCAGCCCACATTCCTCCCTGCTCCCGATCCTGCCGCCCTCCTTTGGGGCCACCGGGTCCCGGGCTGCTGCGTGGAGAGCTGGAGATCTAAGCAGAGGCCTCAAGCCCCAGCCCCTCACTCCGTCCCAACCTCAGGGTCCCTCCCATCCTACTGACGTCAGAGAGGGATTTGGAAGACAGGTCCAGGGTTTGTAAGACAGTTTTGAGGACATAAAAGCACTTTTCACAAACACCCCTGCAATTTATGAAATACTGAAGTAATCAAAATACACAGATTGAGTAGCTTCCAGATACACGTGGGCTTTTAACGACACCAGAAAACTCGGCTGCGAGCTGGCCACACAGAAGACTTTTGTCCAACTTAAAATACCTCAAAGGCAGCTTTGAAACGATCCTGAAATAGTTTTAATTGCTGCTGGTGATAACGAGTAGTGTGAGCAGTGAAAACATATAAAATAGCCCTAGCGCAGGGAACTGCTTCTTCTGAATACATCACCAATTTAGCTTTGCTCCTAGCATCTAGAAGCTGGGGGTGGCAGGGGGTGGAAATCTTCCCCCTGATTTGTCAAGACGATCTCTCTTCTTTACCGGCTGGAGGTAGGAGAGGCAGGAAAGGAAAAGGGGAAAATACAGCAGGAGGTCCAGCGCGCATGCAAGTCTCTAGGGTATTAGTAGCAGCATTTCCAAATGTTTATTGAGTGTCTACTATGTTCCAGACAC